GTTCTCCGAACATCCCATCTTCGTTTGATCCCATCACCTCTAGTGAGGTGTATGAACACATGTGTTCTCTCAAGGTGTCGACTACACTTGATCCAAACGGCTTAAGTCCTACCGTTCCTAAACACGATGATGTGCCACTGTCTCACATTTTTGCACAGTTGATCTTTCACTCGAGTTCCGAACTAGNGCCCCAGTGAGAATTACTCCCATCCCCAAAGGAACGTCAAAGGCCCCAATAGCGAAGCGTTTCAGACCAACTGCTCTCACTTCTACTGGTTTGAAATTGATGGAGTGATGGAGTGCACCGCCTTCAGTTATCTCTTACCACCCCCGATGATATCAATTTGCATACAAGCATAACCTCTCTACATTGGATGCCGTTTCTTCTCTAGTTCACTTCATCTGTAAGTCCCCTATCGGGAATGCCAAATATGTGCACATGCCTTTCCTGACTTTTGTTCCGCTTTTGACTCGGTGCCCCGTTCTCTTTTATTTAAAAAGCTCCAATCGTCTGGCAGTCCCACTTCTTGCATGGTTTGGTGATTGCTATTCGCAAAGATGAGAAAAAGAAGAATACAATCAATCGCATCACTCAATAGTTCGGTTGTACTTCAAGGTGTTATCTTATCACCCTATCTTTTTGCGACTTATATCAGTGACTTACCTATTACTCCCCCTGTACGACATTTTAAGTATGCTGATGATATCTCCATTTCTCTTTCCGTATCTAACCAATCAGAACTGGCTTCATATAACAACCTTATCACACCTCATTACATATCCTACTTTATCCGGTCTTGATCTGAATCCCGAGAAATGCCTTGAATGTATTTTTACTTTAAACCGTTCCCTATCTTTCTCCGACAATGTACAGATTCAGGGAAAGCCGATGAGCAGGGTCGGCCACTTGAAAGTAACTTTCGCTGGTCTTTACATACCCAAACTGTTACTCGCAAGCTTAAAGTTCTCTATTTTCAGATAAGGAGACTATACCACTTCTGCTCTGATTTGTCAGTGATAAACGCTTTTGTTCAAACATTTGTTCTCCCTATACCGCTTTAATGCTCCCCTGTAATTTGCTGAAGGTCAATTTCAAGTTGCTGAGGAGTCGCCTCTCAGTGATCAGCCGTGTTTTCCAAGTTCCTTTATCTGTTCTGATTGGTAATATGTGTAATGCTCATATTGATGCGTACTTGAATTTTGCTGACAATATTCTATCTATCCTTTACACATTGACATGTGTGCATGCAAATCCCACTCCTCCACACGTTCTAAATATAAACTTATTCCCTCTCGCATATCTGCATACAGAAACTCTTTGGTACCCTATCTTTCCCGGATACTGACCGATGGGAAAAGTGTTCGTTCTCAACTTTCTAATGCACTTTGTAGTTAGTTTGACATCCCGTTTTTTTCACCTTTTTGCCAGAATTGTAACGGTGGTTTATTTTTGGCTGAAAGCTTGTAAATAACTCGCTAAAGCTTCAATGCAATACACTACTCTATCATCATCGTCAATCTTGCTGAAAAGCATTATTTGACATCGACCAGGAGCAATCATGTGAAGGGTGAAACTGAACTGGCTCGCTTTTCTCACATAGGTAAACCACGATTAGCTCACAACTAATCGGTCCCCTTTACGAACAATTTTGTCAATCGAAATGTGGCCCCTAACTGGTACGTTCTCAGGATACAATCACGCTCAACAGTGCACTCCTATCAACGTCATTTTCACACAGGAAGTAAGAGGAAGATGTAAGATAAAGCCAGTGGATTGGTAATACTGAGGTAACCCATCCTGTATGGAGTAGTCCCTTAACAAGGTTACCAGTTCCGTTTTTGTTTTTACAACCATTAACCATGCACTTCCGTGCGCCGGTTTTGCTTGCTGTCTCATGACTGCCAATTGGGATGAAGGAGTACAAAGCAGATTGAAATGTTCAAATGACTCAAAGTGAAAATGGATAACTCACGACGAGACTCCACCTTGACATGGTTTGATGGCTTGCCTGCCTCCATGATCTTGCGAGCTACACTGGATGATTTTTCACAGCCGCAGATTCAATTATTCCCGAAAGGTCAATGAGTGGAGGCCAGACAAAGCCCCATCTCAGAAGGTCATCTGATTGGGCATCTGTCTCCCTCTAAATATCCCCTGTCGTCCCTAGAGTGGTCACTCCAGCACATAAACAAGGCGAGGAGCAGTTTCTCGGTCAAATGAAATCTGCGAGATGAAAGTAGGAACGGGGTAGCTGGGGTTTCTTGTCGACAATGAAAGAAGTGTGCGAACTTTATTGGGCAGCTATCACCCACCCGAGCTGGGCAACCGCAAGCCAAGGAGATACTGTCCCGTCTTTGTTCCGCTTGTTTCATTGAGTACATGAAACTAAGAGTCTATCCCGACCAGCGAACTCTCAATCAACGCATCAGCAAACAATACACTAAACCAAAATCCGAAGGCCTTGTGTGACATCTCTCCCGTCGATCGCTTCAGTCACTCTCCCGCGTTGGATCTGCACCCCACTGCTTTGTGGGTCAGACTTTTGAGTCGAAGGCTTCAATCAGGGTTCTCAAAGAAACTCTCGTCTATGTGGACTACTACAAAGTACGTAGTGCTCTAAAGTTTCAGGTACTCATTTGAAAAAAACATCTCATTTTTTAGTTCTTTCTCTCGAAAAGCTTGTCAGTTGTCTACTGCACTGCACTCTTTTTGCACCTGCAGGACAAGGGCGAGGATCTTCCGGGGCAGGTGACCAGATACCATAGAGGCCCTGTTTGGAGAACTGCGCAGAAAGCTAATGTGTCGCACACCTTTCAAATTGGAGTCCGAAAGATGTGTATACACAATTGTACCATGTACCTCGTCTACTAACCGCATCAGTTCACTTTCTTTCCCTCTTGAGTAAAAACAAGATCAGTCTGATAAATGCATACTCACTTGGTCAGTCATCATCGAGTCTCAGTAATACATAAGTGTTATTTACTCTTAGTATCCTCATTGTCTGCAACCGCTGTTCGTCACTCCAAGTTGAGATATACTTGTCAAAGTTGTCAAATTTCGTTACCACCGATACCATTTCTGTAGTACGCGGAGTAAGTCGACCACTGACAATCTACAAACGCATTAAAGCGTACAGACAACGTCAGTCAATGTGTCACGTGATTTATCGAATTATGTCGGTATTCGTGGCAGTGCAATTTGTATCATCTGTTATTTGTATAACTTTTGGAGTAGACGACAGCAGAAGCGAATAAACTAAAGTCCTCTGCACATCTTCCGAGCTGCACCTAAATGTTCTTAGCATGCATATTTTCTTTACTCAGCACCACAGCTCATTAGTCGTTTATTACCTGACAGATTCGAAGCTGTTTTCAAAATTGTACCATCAGTGCAGCGATGAGTCAATTACTGTAACCTCACGGATCTCCTTTTAGCCAGTCATGTACAATTCCAGTTGTCGATCAATATTTTCCGTTTCTGGTCGATTTAATTGGCTCTGAAATTTTTTCTTATACGATGAACTGTTGTCTGTAATTGTTTATTCATCCTCGTAACTATCAGAAACGATATCACATTTTTGTTCATCATTTTATCTCAAAAGCCAATAATTGATCAAAGTGAGATTAATCATTCTGTTTTGCTCGCATTACTTTTTCTCATCCTCATTTCTCCGCTCGCGTATGCACGCTATCGAACCGCACATCGTCTTTCATCGTCTGTCCCAAAGAACGCTTCATCAATACATGCATCCGGATGTGCAATTCGTCGTGACTCGCTCAGCCTGGAACGAGGATTTCGATGCGGTACGTCTGTTCTCCAATGTGAAGTTAATGCTCGCTCTACTCCACTTCATCTTTCAGGTCATGTGAAAGAGAAATCATGACAAAGACGACCACAACAAATTTTTCCCCATCGAATTTAGGGTATTTGCAAATTCTACCGAGACAGCAGAGGTATAGGTCAGTTTTGTGGGGGAATAGTGACTTTAATCGAAACTAACTCAATATCTGAGCAATTCCTCATAGATTTTGAAAAAAATAGGNCATGTGATCTTCAATGGGGAACACGCTTGGTGTATTCTTTATTACACAGCAGACGGTGAAAGCCCCATGGTCACGAGGACCTGCAGTTCAGTGATGTAGACCGGTGACCTAAGCCCCGGACTTGGAATGCCGTGCCACAGAAGGTCCCGCTAGGTTGGGTGTAGTATTCAATCGGCAGACAACAGAGATGCATACCACCACCTCGGACCGTAGGGTCCAAAGCACTGCGGTGACTGCCACAAAACCACTGTGCCACCACCATCCGGAATCGGAACTTCAGTCAAAGTGAAGTGTACAAATGAGGATCCGAAAATCGAGTATGTAGTCAGAAAGTGTAGTCAAGTTAGCAGTCGCATGTACTGTGCAATTTCCCGGAGCTTTTTGAACTGAATATACCCCTCATCGCACGAGAAGTCGTTTTCACATTAAAGATAGATACTCAGCACCATTCAAGTAAGGCAGTAGTGGTTACGCGGTTTTGTCTGTCCGGCTTAAGTTGTGTAGTTCGTCAGTTCTAACCCCGCTGCCCACTTTTCCATATCGTGTTTAGCGGCCTTCAGTGATCAGCCAGTTCTGCATTACGGCAAAGAAAGTTGGCCTTTAAGGAAACAGGATAAAGATAGACTGTCGGTGTTTGAACATCGCTTTCTACGCAGCATTTCACGTATTTGGTGGAGCAGCCGGACGAGCAATGCTGAGGTTAGGCGTGGAGTTTTGGGTAATCTCGGTCACCCACTGGAGCAGGTGGTCGACCTCCATAGATTACGTTTGTTGGGGCATGTAATATGCATGTCGCCGAACAGATTGCCACGGCGAGCGATGTTTGCCGTGGCAGGTAGCGGGTGGAGTGAAACCAAGACAGTCAAGCTAATACCTGGCACGAGGGTATGAAAACCCTAATCAGTAGTCTGGGTCACATAGGTCTTGTTAAGCTTCCTGGCTGGGGACCTCGGAATGATCGTCACCGATGATTAAAGACAATAATTGATATGGCTGTGTCGTAAACAGTGGCGCTCGTGCATCTTCTCAATTCCTTTGCACCATTTGTCTAATGAAATTCTCCATCATCTATTCGACTCTGCTTCCAACTTTCCTGTCTTTCTCCTACTATTCATCCAAATGGGCAACCAAAACCGGCGCACGATAGTGCAAGGTTAATGGTTGTACAAATTGCACTTTATCAGTCTCCCGCCCACTTCGTTTGCTGAGCGTTGAATATACAATGTAGAATGGCAAATACATAGAAGTAGTAAGACTATTTACTCGTTTGGAATATCGTTTTCCCAATAGGTCATTCTATTTCCCAGTGACGGCATTTGCATGCTTGTATTTAGGTTTAGCTTCCACTATCTTGAGGTTTATTCTTTCCTCACGACTATAATACATTTGTTCTGTGAAATCGAACCTGTTAGTAATGGCCGAATCTGAAAGAATGAGACTAATCAACTCTCCTTTGCTTTTTATCGGTCTCTCCATGATTGCCGCCACCCATGTAGTGTAAGGAAAATGCCACCTTGCAAACTGTAAACGACGAAGTAATATGTGTAATGAAGAAAAGTAAATACAAAGGCTCCGTGTTTCATGACATTAGACCATGCTATTGAAACTCTCATCGTCCTGAACCGACAATGTAATTCTAAGTATGTGGGTCAGTCTCGTTCTGGATTCCCCGTTCCAACCAATCCGTGTCTTTGAGGATACTTTACGCTGGACATGGGTCAGCTCCGGACCATAACTACTGCATAGCCCGGCTGTTCCATTTTTCTTCGAGTCGTATAAATCACTGATCCGACGGCTGGCTCTGTGAATTTCATCATCGCCTGGCTTTTTCACATCTTATTTCCCGGTGGTTTGGCTGCCTCCGCATCCTTGGAACCGATTGCGTAATCAGCTAAATAATAATAAGAATTAGATCGAAATAAGCCCTAGGTAGTTTCACCTTTGCGTCCCATTCAAGAGGCTTCAACTTGCACTCTGCTCAGATAGGAACCGAAACTACTTATCGGTCGGTTTCACGAACCCATTTTGTCTGTGACTTATTCCTTTTGCCTTTCGAGACGTGGTTACATCTTTGTCCCTAAGTGGAACGCAGCTGATCACAGCATTTAGATTCGGACAATAAACTGTCATTGGGATTATTGCAACCCAATACTGAACCTCAGTGACCATCACGAATTTTATTGGTAAGACTTAAAATAATTTTTTTTCTTGTCCGCTTCAGAATTGGGTCTCAATGACCAGGCGATATCGCGAAACGTTTCCGTTTTGTCTTTTTTCGCCTCAAATTTGTCTGTTTTATGAATCGATGATTTCATCTTTTGACCAGAGCTCGGTTTCCACTGCACGGTCGGACAAAAATTGAATAATTAACCATGTGTATGTGGGAGTAACGTTTCACAGCGTATTTTAAATGTTCTGATTTATCCATCAAACCTATTAGGCTCTTTGTCAATCCCGAATAGTAAGAGACCTGCTTTGGCTTGGGCAACCTAGCAGTATCGCGCCCTCGAGCAAATCATGGACCTTTTTTATTTTTATGATGATAATTATGCAGCGATTCGTTTGGCACACAGTCTGAAGTCAAACGAGCCTGAAAATAAATAATGAAAACAAATGATAATAAATGGTGAGAGAACATTACCTATTGCCAATTTTCTATAGTTCACTAAACTGGCACATTAGTTGTGTACATCAATTTGTCCCGTTTTATTTTATGAACACTGTTTGGTGTCATTGATACGCGATCATCTTATCTCAACAGTCGTTCCGTTCGGTGTCTGATTTCGAACGCATACCAGACATAGTTTCTGTTAGGGTTGTGGTCTTTACATGCTTTAGTGTTGTTACCTATTTTTGTCTTAGTTTGATGATGATGATGACCGTGGAATCGGGTCAGGAACACGTCAGCAGCAGCAGCATTACCCATCCGAATACCGTCTGTGCTGATTTCAGTGACTCACTATGTCACGGCGTCTGCCTCGGTCGTCCTCTTCACTTCCTCTCGCCGGCTAACCTTGTCAGCTGCATACATGATTAGTCTGAGAGAAATCGTGGTCAGGAGATTGAGCCCCATGTGCCCAGTCAGTTACCCTATCTGTCTGTCTATCCGTTCGTTGTATCAAAATGATGTGAGGAGCGAAGGAATAGAATGGAGTGCTCGGACGAAACTCACGCCCGCAGCGACAGGTAGATAGCTGGCCCCTCTCCACTCGGTTTAGCTAGTCCGTTGTGGAGAAAGACTAGGTGACTAACCGCCGTCTATACCAGGATTAACTCTGTCGTGTTAGTTCAGAGGCAGTAGTCATAGGTGGAGCTCCAGTTGTGTATCCTTTCGGTATCATGGATACCCTCACTCCTCACTTATCATGTGGCCCGGTGACCTCTCGTCTAACCGCCTGATTCACAATTCGCACGTGCATACACAGCTGCACTAACGAGAAATTGTTGAATTGGGGAGGAAAGGAGCAACACGATCGCTCTATCCTGGTCTGATCATTCACCTGGGACTGCTCCACGCACATGAATTGCTGGCAGTTTAAGCAGAATAAAAACGAGTACGCGAACAAGTACGGCAGTGGTCTTGACGCGCAAATGGAAGTCACTCTTATTTTAGGGTCTGCAGGCAAACAGTGTCAATCGCTGCGCTGGGCGCGCGCGGGCGAGTGGTGGATCTCAGCACAGTTTTCACTCTGTCCATCAATCCGGCTATTAGACACCAGACTGTATGACCTTGAGAAATGGAACCGAGTTTACACCTCGTTCATCAATCAATTAATCGCTATTTAACCATCATTTCATCAAAAGCGAATGACTGATTTAGTCATTGATCAATTCCAAACTAAAATGTCTTAATATCATTGCGAACACCATAAAGGCGTATGCAACCTCTACTTCGTACCTTCGGAGTATAATTTGTTTTGTTGTACACCTCTGTATGAAGAGGACTGATTGTGTCATGTATTGCATTTTCATCGGCCCCGATTGATGTTTTCTTAGTGTTTGCGGAAAAACGGAAGTTGTGCAATCCGTTTCTGCTTAGCCTGTCCTTGCTTAAACCTGTCGCATTCCATGAAGGTTCTCTATTAGGACAGTGAAAGAGTCATACTGTAGTTGACCTTGGTGGTAGTGGCCAAGTGGCTAAATCACCCAATTGTAACCCGGATGTCTCGGGTTCGAACTACTCCACCGC